TCTCTGTCTCTCTCTCTCTCTCTCTCTCTCTCTCTCTCTCTCGCTCGCTGATGGAGTGGGTGACTCAGACTCTTCTCTCTCTGCGTGCGTCTATATTTAGCGCTTTCATCTTCAGCTCTGCTCGATTGGATGCAGTTGGATGGAAACCTGTTTACACTTTCATCTCGCAAAAAACAGATCACAGCCCAATGACGGGACGAATGATCGGCTCATTTCAGCAAATTTCACCAAAAACTAATTATAATTCATATAAAGGAAACCCAACCTGTTTTAACACCATTATGATTTTTTTTCCATTGGGACATTGAGAATTAGCAGTAAAATCTGCTGAAACTGTTATTTATTATTTCTTTGTAATAAAGTAACTCATCCTTTCTGGTGACAATGTTTGTTTGTCTGAATTAAAATTAACAAAATAAATGACATATAGCAATTACTACTATTCTATATATATATACAGTGGGTACGGAAAGTATTCAGACCCCCTTAAATTTTTCACTCTGTTATATTGCAGCCATTTGCTAAAATCATTTAAGTTAATTTTTTTTCCTCATTAATGTACACACAGCACCCCATATTGACAGAAAAACACACGCGATATTTTCCGCGGCAATACTGTATCGATACGCGGACACCAAGTGTCGATCTTTTATTATACTATTTGGTAGAATAATAAAATTAATTTCTTTACAGTCCACTAGATGGTGGTGTTGAGTTTTTTTCTGGTGAGGTCAGCGGGGTCACCTTCAGCATGCAGTAAGTTAGTAAAATAAAGAGGGCGGCATTGCGGAAAGTTATCAGGAAAGCCCCGTCCGCGTTTAAATCGGATGTAAGACTGTTTCATTTATTTTAAATTTAACAGTAATTTACTTTCAAATGCCCCAATTGCTGAAGGCTCTGCACAACTTTTTTTGTACAAGTTCAAGTTGCATTGTTCAAAATACCTGTAGTAGCACAGCAGTGCATACCTGTTTACATTTAATTAAGGTGGACTAGACTAGACTGTAATACAAATAGTTGAGTTTGCCAGGTGCATACAACATTTTTGACAGGTTTTCATGAAAGTGTTGGTCAGTTTGTATGCTTGACAATCCCATTTTGCACTGCAGCAATAAAACTGAAGTGAGATAAACTAGGGTGACCATACGTCCTCTTTTCCCCGGACATGTCCTCTTTTTGGACCTACAAAAATGCATCCGGTCGGGATTTCTTAATCGCCCAAAATGTCCGGGATTTGTCTGTTTTCTTAATCCCACTCCCGCTGAATTTCTGACCATTGCCGCCTGCTCCCGCAACGTGTGTTTCGCTCCCGCGATTTTCGTGTCCACTCTTTTAAACATTCTAATATTGTATATAATTTTGGCGCATCAGGGAGCCGCTCTCAGGATGCGGAGTATTTGAATCTCTTTTGAATGAGCGCTCGCGCTGTTTACTTTCACTTTCACTTTCGCGATCACACGCACTCTGTGTAAAGGGAGCACATCTTACAAGATCAGATATTTGTCAATGAGCTCAGAATCTGTTTTGGCGCATCAGGGAGCCGCTCTCAGGATGCGGAGTATTTGAATCTCTTTTGAATGAGCGCTCGCGCTGTTTACTTTCACTTTCACTTTCGCGATCACACGCACTCTGTGTAAAGGGAGCACATCTTACAAGATGAGATATTTGTCAATGAGCTCAGGATCTGTTGAGCAGCAAATACTCCAGCATGGTCTTGTCAGTCATCTCTCCTTATTCTCGACCTGTGATCAGTCAAATCTGACTCCTGCAGCTCTTGTTGGATGCAGGGTTGCCAAGTCCGCGTTTTTTCCACAGAATTGGGCTACTTTTAAATGGGTTGATTTTCACGGTCTAATCAGATTCAATGATCTATGCTCGGCTACAGCTAAAAGTGCTAACGCCAGACCCGGAGATTGGCTGAATGGATTCGAAAACGGTAAAACTCAACTGTTTAACTCTAGGGGAGCTGGAAAATTAGCCTATTTTCAAAAATAGTGACGTGTTCCTTTAATCATTTTCAAGAAACGGCTGAAAATACATCTCTTTCAACTTCATTTGACCCTCTAACTCTAGCACTCTCTATTCTATTTCTGTTCTAACTACTTGTTTTATTTAAAAACGAAAAGAGCTTTTAATGGTGTGTTCACACCAGACGCGAATGTAATTATTCGCACGAGTAGATTACATACAAAGTCAACGCAAATAGAGGCGAATTCGCGCCAGGCAACGCGAAATGCGTGACGCATTTGCCGCTAACGCATGATATTCGCCTCAATCGTGTCTCTTCCGCGTAAGTTCAAAAATTTCAACTCGAGTGGAAAATTCGCATGACGCATTCTCGCGCAAGCCAATCAGCGAAGAGCTTCTTGACACGTCCAGTTGAATCAGACAATGGAAGAAAGCATTATTGCAGCCGTCTGTTATTATTTAGGTCTGGAGCATAGAAAACAATTAAAATCAGTTGTAGTGGAAGTTGTATTTTATTAGCATGGCTACAAAGATGATGTTATTAATAATAAAAATAATAGTAATATCAGTGTGTATATATACAGTAGTACAATGTAACACACATTAATACAGGATAGTAACGTTATTCATCCTCGTCTGGATGGTGTTGTGAACCCAGACACGTCGGCGTTTGGCTTTCCATCGTATTTGGGACTTTTTGACAACAGGTACAAAACAGCGATTGTAGTCATCTCCAGCATGGTTGATCGCGCTGTTTTTATTCGCGCGAGTGACACGAAAAGCATCCCGCGAGTAATCTAGAGCGAGTGATGCGATGCGCATACTCGCTTCGCGTCTGGTGTGAACACCATAACACTAGCATTCTCTATTCTTTCTACTTATTTTCTTTTTATTTATTCTAAAAACAAAAAAAGCAAACAAACAAAAAAACACCTTGCTACGTATACTGTTAGGCGAAACCCTGCCCCCCCACTGTCCTCTTTTTGGAAAACTAAAATATGTTCACCCTAGATAAACAAACTGAGAAATGTTTCTTTTTAGTTAAAACAGATGTTGCCAAAGTTTTCCTTTGGGGACATAATTTTGGAAAAAGGTACAAATTTGCAATATATCGCAATATATTTAAAATTGCAATAATATTGTATTGTGACAAGTATCGTGATAATATCGTATCGTGGGGCCTCTGGTGATTCCCACCCCTAATATATATATATATATATATATTATATTTATGAGTATATTTGTTCCACATTACAGTTAATTATTTTAATAACATTTTCATTTTAATATTTTGATATATACATACTAGGGATGTGCGGGTCTAGTCGACTAAACGGTACAGCTCCTGCTAGTCGACACTGAAAACAATAGTCGATTACACGACAGACAAAAAAAAAAGAAAAACAAAAAAATCATTTTATCATTCACATTACCATCATTTTAACATTGCATTTAAAACATTTTAAATAACA